GAGAGGCATGATCCACCGGATGGGTGGGGGGGCCTAAATTACGTTTGGGTGTTGGGACAATGCGGGACATGCTAGGGACTGCTGTTTGCTAAGAGGCCTAGTTGGTACATTTTTAAATGACAATCTCGTATCCAACACTAAAAAATAGAACAGTTTCTATTGGAAACTGATTAGGCGGAATTACATATTATTTACAACATGGTTACTTATGGTTTATTGCGTTGCACAAACAATGCACGTGAAGTAATTTAAGAGTATATATGGTTGTGAATGGATTTATTTTCAAAGATTTGGTTTAGTATTATTCAATGAAATCTATTCTCGTGTTTGTTTGCGATCTGGCGAGTTCTGGAAAAGATGACCAGAGCCAGCCGTTAATGGCCATGGTCTGGCTGCCCTCGGGACCGAGCGTGCGTGGTTGCACAGTCTGGGAAACGATTTAATTAAATCAGCTGCGCGTGGTAACCTTGTCTCTTTCGGTAATACGCTTTTGTCTTCAGGAAGAATGTACCCATCCAGATGGAATTTGATATTTGTTTCTTTGATGAGGTCTGGCGATTTCTTGTGAGTTTCTGTGAAGCGGTTGCGTTCCAAAAGATATGGGCACCTCAATGCAGCAATGAGAAAACAATTTCTGGCAAATCTCAGCAAAAAGCTATTCTGGGAATCTCGCCTTTTATCTCCACAAGTATATCTCTCTATCTGTTGATTGTTTGGGACACCGTGGACACAGGCCAGACACAGCTCGTCTTGTTTCCTGAAGACACCTTTGGAGTTAAAAGCCAAGTTTTAGGGATGTGCAACTGTCATAAGAATGCGGGACATCAGCAAAATGTGTGGGACAGGATGCTAGAGAGATGCGTGTGCAGTGAAAGAGGATAGAAGTTTCTCCACAGATTCCTTTCCGTGTATGTCAGAAGGAAGAGTCTGCACGACAATGTCTTAGACTGATAACATGACTTATCTTAATCAAGTAATAGCATAATGGGCTCCCAAAAACATGTGCATGTCCCTGTTCAAATAAACGATTTTAAATGAAATGAAGCAAAAAAAAATTGTATATAATAAAATATCGATTATTTCCCCCGATCACATGTGTAATATTCGCAGAAAGTATTCACATACTGTTAAATTGTAGCAGCTAAATATAATAAAGATAATAAAGATGATGATAATAAAAGGAGTTATAGCCAACTTAAATGCAGTTCAACCATTACATTTCGTTTGACCAAAAATGTGGTGAAAAATGCATAAAAAGCCATCAGGATAAAAGGAAATTGCAGTGAAGACCCCTGAGGTGCGTGAGGTAGCTCTTGGCACGAGTGGAAAGGTGGAAGAACCATGACGCAAAAGAGGCTCGAGGCAAAAAAGACGAGAGAGAATGTGTGTAATAACAAAAAAGGCTTGATGCCCCTTCACACCAAACGCGTTTCAGCTCCGGCTCGGAGCTGGAGCCTGAAAGTACCGTTTTTCCTGTTCACACCGCAGCTCCGGAATCCGGTTCACTTCCATCTCCAAAATATTGTCGGTAGAAGCAAGAGCTTCGGAGCTAAGAGGCAGCGTCGCTTACGTTGAGGTGTGCAGGAAACTAAACCCACCGCCCCTGAACATGGGTCGACTGAAGAGTCTCGTCATGCCTGCCTACAAGCAGTAGTGCTGAGCAAAGTGACTAGAAGGCAACCACACACTTATAAAAAGAAACACACTTTATAAAGTCAGGCAACACTAACCAGACTTCGTGTGATTCTGTTTATTTGCACCTTACTTTGACCATCCGTTCGCTGTTATTGATCATTGTGGAGAGCAGGCAGACGTTTTGTTTTGTATTATAGCAGCTATCAGATGGAATCAATACATGGGCTGCACAGGTTGTCATGTCCGACTATCACAAGTAGAATCATAATGAAAGATACGCCGGTAAAATGTGCCTGTAGAAAACGGCTTATGCCACAATAGGATAGCAATAGCAAGTAGTCAGTTTACCTTCGGTTGCTATGCTAACATCACCCATTTTATACCAGAGACACTTTAATAACAGCGTTGTGATGCCAAACAGCGTCAATTCAGACTGACACACATACTTAAGGGGAATTGGGGATATGTATCAGCTGCTTGTGTGACAGTCAGACAGTGAATACTTTAGAGAGGCCGCTCTAAAGTATTAGCTAACCCGGAGCTAACGGGAGAATAAACTCCCGTGGAAGAGCAGCCAGCACTGCAGCGGTCGGTAAATGCCGCTGAAACACATTAATAAACAATGAACCACGGCACTCTGGAGAAAAGTATAAGCTTGGAGAAGTCGTTATTTTATTTAATCTGACTTCGTGTGATTAAAAGCAACACAATCATCGACCCGACGCAGTCCCCCATTGTTGTTGTTGTTGTGAGCGCTGTTGGGGAGCAAATCAGCGATGTAAACGGTGACGTCATGACGCAGCAGCGGCTGCACCACACCAGTCGGGCTCTGGGCGGTGTGAACAGAGCGGGTGCAGAAAAGGGAAACCAGAGCTGAACCAGAAAAGCTCTAGCTCGGAGCTAGAAAGGGAAAAGCGCTGGTGTGAAAGCCGCATCTGTGTAAACGTGGCCTTAGTTGGAGGGAGTTAATGCTCATCCAGTGGTGTATGTGTTCCAAGCATCTTGAGACTTTTGAAGGACAATTTTGAGGAACTTGTATTTTATTTATATACTACTTTGTACTTCTTCTACTACACTACAATTCAGAGGTTAACTGTGCACTTTTACTGTACTACATTTATTTTGTTTACATTTACTTTACAAATTTGGATTAATGATATGAAATATATCAATCCTTAAAAAAAACTTCAGTTACACCTGGAGTAAATTCACAATACCCTGCAGTATACAAAGTCATAGAACATATTATTCTGAAATGGAGCAATTTGCATGTTACTTTTGGTACTTTAAGTATATTTTGATGCCAATACTTTTCTACTTTTACTTGAGTAACCTTTTGAATGCAGGACTCTTACTTGTAACAGAGTATTCCTACACTCTGTTACTTCTACTTTTACTCAAGTATAAGATCTGAGTACTTCTTCCACCTCTGGCAATATGCAGCAGAATTATATAATGTGCAGCATCCACAGCAGCCAGCAGGGGTCAGGAGCAGCTTTAAGTGTGTTGAATGCAGCCCAGGAGAAGCTGATGGAGTCCTGCATGTCCTCCCCTGAAACAATATATAGTTAAATACATGAAACTTGAAATCTTGTTAGGTGTTTTTATACAATGAAGATGTCTTCAATAAAAACAATAATACACTGATTAATTCTGTAACCCAAAGAAATGAAATAAGAAAATGAAATTAGACTTTTCATGGATGTACATATTTATTTTTTATTCTATAGAAACTGCAGCATTAGACAAGTGCTGAAGCTGTAAACCATATTGCACACACACACACACACACACACACACACACACACACACACACACACACACACACACACACACACACACACACACACACACAATGCTGAACACTGGTGCAGGGAGATGAGGCAGTAAAACACTGAGGCAGGAGTCACAGTCAATCAAAAAAAGAAGGGAGGGGGTGCTAATTTACCAAAAGTGCACCATGACACTTTACAGACAGAACTCCTAAAAATGGATAGAAAATATAAATAATTCCAACATTAAGTACATTCTCTAGATTAAGACCCATAAATATGCGCTTGAGAGTTCAAACTACAGTATGTCCAGAGGTCCATGCGTCCACAATATACACAAATGACAATAAATATTGGACACACAGTACAGTATCAATGTGGATATTTGTTTTTCTTTGAACATTTTCAGGGGTACAGCAAGACACGGAGCATTCATAAAGCAGCTGAGGAAAGGCCTTCACAACCTGTACCTGTCTTGTTATCGGTTTATATTAACGGATCACCTTGGTTACTCCTTTTCTGGCTGCTAAAGCGAAGACTCAATGTTTTTGGGGGGAATGTGTGAAGAAGCACCAGTGAGCTTGTCCTCCAGGCTTCAACCTGACTCACAGTAGAAAGAAAGGGAAAAGTAGGGAGAGAAAACACTCTCAACACTAATTGTTAACCTTTGACCAGAGTGCAGAGAAATAGGGAGATAGAGGAAGAATGTGTGAAAAAGAGGGGTGTAGAAATGGAGGAGTGAGGGTACTGTGTTACTGTGTAAGTGAAAAAACAAACCTAGACAGGACCTAGTTTTGGCAACGTTGCTTCCTGTTGCTAAGTAACGGTCTCCAAGGGCAGAGGAAGCGCCTCTTTGAGGTTGTTCGGCTCCAAAATGAACAATTTTCAGCCCATCCCACCACCTCCTCCTCTACCCTTTTCTGAAGCCGGTTTATCCTTAATAGGCCACAAGCAGCAAGCTAAATGAAAGAAAAGTCCATTGCACTATATGGGAATCATGAGCTTCACTGTCCACAGTTCTCTTTTGCACTAGCCATAATATCACCTTACTAACAATTTGAGTGATGGGGCAGCGTAGGATAACTTAAGAGTAAATAAAATCATCAGTGGTTCAGAATTTAGAACAAAACAGAAGGGATAATTAACGTTTTGTTTTAAATGTTTTAAAATCCCCACACTGTGCTGTATCACCTCATTAAAATTCCACTCATTAAATATTCAGTGCTTCAGACCCAGATATTGCCTCATCTGTTTCATACTGCTGCCCATGCACCTCCATGCAATGGGTGAATCTACGTGAAACTGCGGTTAGTGTCACTCAAAAGCCTTTACAGGTGCTTTTATCTTTCCATGTTTTGCCAAGAATCTGCTGAAATGAAAAGTCCTCTGGTCTTCTAATGTTCTTGATTTGAAGCAGATGCTAACGACACATTTACCACAGTCCATGTGTCTGCTGAGCAGTGTAATTGCATCTCCATGGAGAAGGAGGAGCTGTATGGACATGGGTAAACCTCCAGCCAGCACAAAGTGAAAGAATATCCTTGAAAAAACTAAGCTAATGTTATGAGTCCCTGTTGAGCGTTTCACCCTCGGAGCCGCTAAATATATAGTTCATTTAATCTTAGCATGGGATCCAAGCTGAGTTAAACAAACTCTGTCTATTGTGAGATAATCCTTAAACAGATGCCAAAACCTGTGTCTGGGTAATGAAACACTGGTCGCCACAGGCCTAAATTATATAACGTACAAGGAGAGATATGAGCAAATGAAATATATTAGATATTTAATGTAATAAAAGCTGAATTCAGAGTCCTTAAAATGTCTACAGCTTGGTAAAAAACAGCTTTAACACTGGAAAACAATTTCTGAGCATCAAACACACTTCTCTGCATTAACCCTGCGCAATTTGACACAACATTTCTCTCTAAAATGATAGCAGAATTAAGTATTCTGAACAGTGACCTGTGGCATGGCTATTTTTCTATTTAGTTTTCAAAGACAAGACCAAGTTAACATTTTATTTTACAAGTCTGTAAATTCCTATTATTTCCAACAGTTTACGAAAAGAGCAGAGCTTTTGTTCTACTGTTATGCATTGGGAAAATAAAGTAACTCATTATAAAAAGCATGGTAGTGGTGAAGCTGCCAGACACCAACAATGAACCTTCTGTTGTCTTGTGTAACGCTGAAAATGGTATGATCCACACTGGACTAAACCAAACATAGGGATAAAGGGGGATTCAGGGAACGGACTTGACTTTTTGTGAAATTGGGCCCCTCACCTGAGATTCCCTATACATATATCAGTTCAACAGTGAAAATAATTTAAATTCACATTATCATAAGAGGCTATTACATCAAATCACACAGAAACAATTATGTTTACAGGCCTGAAGAGGGAAAGAAAACAACCTTGTTTTGAATAAATGTAAAAAGATTGGACGCTGGACCAATTATTATTCCTTTTTTTCCTATACAGTGTGTGCATAGTGCCTGAACAGTGGACAAAAAGTAATGATTAAATAAAAAGAGGGAATTCCAGTGTGTAGGTTCAAATCATTAATATTATGAAAACTGTAATCAGGCAAAGGGGGAAAGTCTATATGCAGATTTGATAAAATGCTTACTACGCAATAATCTAACTCGAGTTATCTTACAGAGTGATAGCTTATCAGTGTTGGACCTTAAGTGTGTAACTTTAGTGAGTGTTAACAAAAACAGGGGTCAAACATTACTGTTAGAGACTATATTACTGTGACAGTGTATGATTTATGACACAGCTAAAAGCAAAAAAACAAAACATTTTACAACAAAGTTAAAAGAAAATAATTTTGGTCAATAATTAATAAGAAGCTGAGTGATATAAGGCCTCGTTCTGCTGTTAATCTCCCATACACAAGCAAATAATAAATAGCTTAACACTCGTCGAAACATGTTCCATTTCCTTGGTTTTCACAAATAAAATACATACAGTACTTGTTTATTTCTTTAGGCAAACACATATTGTTGCATATGTACATTTTCAGTAGTCGTTACATAGATAGTATTTCAGCAGAGGTTGGAAAACCACACGGGAACAGAGAGTGCATAAAAAAAAAATCAATCTTTTGGCTTGTAGGTCTGTGCTGTTCTCTCACCTGTATTGAGTGATTCCAAACCTTAAGTCAAGCTGGATTTGCAAATACTTTCCGATGGTGGGTTTTAGAATCCCTTTATATTGAATGACTGTTGATAATTGGTCTCACTCTTGCTCTTTTTCTTCTTCTTTGGCTCTTCGCTAAAATAGTCCACTAATTGAATCCTCCAAAGTTGTGAAGACTGGCTGCAATCATGTATTGGTTTCTTACTACATCACCACATTTTCTTTGTTCAAAAGCTAAAACTAGTCCCAAACAAATGCTCTATTCCCTCATGTTTGGCTAACTTGAGCAAAAAATGCTGAGCTATTATTTCATTTTTAAGAAAGCCCAAAATCATTCTCATTTAGCTGAGTTTTTCCTGATTATGGCTAATTTTAGGTGTCAATTTCTTAAAAGAAGAGTACCATGGGTGTATCGGGCCTATTGGTGAAGAAAACAGCCGTCGGCCATGGCTGAAAACACGTTTTACAAGAGCATTGAGAGTGAACCAGAACAGCGTTTGTGGGCCAAAAAAACCAAATAATGAAAATAATGATGTGCTATGTGGAGTTCATGGGAACTGAAGAGTAAGGAAATAATAATCTGTGGATCATTACTATGAGTGACACCTTTCACAAGGAACATAATCATCTGTTTACATCAATCAGTGCTACAGACATGGGAACAGAGAATAACACCAGCCTTTGCACTCAACACTACTGTTTAAAGAAATGTGTCGGTCCAAACTGAACTTGCATACTGATGCATGATGCAAACTGACAAACCTGCATCTCACTGTGCGTGTCAGAGAAGCTTTATGAGGCGTGGTAGCTTAATGCAAATGTGAGCCTTTGCATTACAACATTGGGATAAACCACCCATATTGCTCAGCATTTACTCGCAACCTAGTGCAAGATAGATTTTTATTAAGGCTCGGTAGACATATGCACACACAACACAAGCTTAGTGTATTTCCTGGCCATGCCTAATTACGACAGAAATTGCATTAAATAAATAAGAAAATAAGAACCGCACTGGCCACTCAAACAAGACTTGTATGCACAGGCTACTATAACTGCATAAAGGTCAACCATTAACCCTTTGCTCCAGGTGGAAGTTTAAGTATTTCTACCACAGACTACAGCCTGGAAAAATTGCATACATTAACCAGAAGGTAGACCCCTTAGAAAAACCCAGCAGCCAAACTATTGATTTATTTTCTCTCTTGTTCCACACGCAAAGAGGAAGCATACAGAGCAGTCCGAGGCTATCAAGCATGATTATTTTTTAAAACATTCACTTGGTAAAACTAGCAAGTACTAGAGACTACAGCGACAATACAGCAGCACAGTTTTAAGCTAAGGGACTATCATTCTTCCTTGGCTGTCCCTATTTTAGACCCACAGTGTAAGGTGTTGTCTTCCAGACCCAGTCATAAAGAAGAGAAGCAGGGAAGAAAGGAGCAATACCCTTATGGTCAAGCAGAATACAGTAGCATTAGTTTCACTGCCTGCTCTGCCTCAAAAGTATATCTTATTGTTGTATGAATCAGTTTGATTTACGAGTGTATCTCCCATTAACGATTTAAGACTTCTGTCAAAAGGAAAACAGGAAAGGCTTCCTTATAAATAAAAGTTTAATTATTGATCACATTGCTTTTCTTCTAATGCTGAGGCAGGGTTTCAGGAAACCATAGCTCTCTGTATCATACCTCTCTGTTTGTAGCAGTAGCAATACACATTGGACGGTTTTAAAAAGAGTGGTGATTTTAACAACTGTACCCAGAAGATTAATAAATAAAGTTCCAAAACAACACTAAGCCTTTGAGCTGCCACCTCCAGTTAAGGTAAACACAGGCCATCGTCAGCCAATCAGCCGGATACTAACAGTAGAGGGACATCCTACTCCGACGCATGGCCTCGCTGATCAGATAGGCCGGGCTGATTTCTGGCTCCTCCTTCATCACCACAATGTTCTGCCACTCTCCACTCTGGTTGGATTTCTTGATGGTATCAACCACGCAAAGAGCATAAAGACAATCCTCAAATGTAGCAGCCATTGTCAGAGGCCTCCCGTCCCACGTCCGCCTGTCGTCCTGGTCCTGAAAGGCCTCCCGCACGGCCTGGATCATGCGGATTGTTCCAATGAGATACGGGGACGGAATGTCAATGAAGGCCTTCTCCGGTAAGGAAGAATTCTCAACAGGTGTATTGTCTTTGAGCAGGAGTTCAGGACCCCCACCGTTTCCTCCGCTGCTGTTCTTCTGTCCGTACAGGTCTGTCCCGGTGACTGTAAGCCTTCCCACCGTACCTACGACGATAACCTCCTGCCGGAATTCTCCGGGAACGTTGAAGTTCAGCGTGACGGTGCAGCAGGCGCCACCCTCTAGCGCCATCTGGAACGTGCAGAAGTCGTCGCTGGTAATCTGACGGATGCCCCGGATGTGGTCCGTCTGTTTGACGAAGGTCTTGAGGAAGCCGTGGACTTTTGCTGCGCGCTGACCAGTCAGAAACCCTAGCAAGTCAATGATGTAACTACCCACGGAATGCAGACCTCCGCCTCCCATCAGGTCATCGCAGCTCCAGTTGTATTTCTTTCCTAGGAGACTGCCACTGTGGACCTGTAGGGCAAGAGGAACACTTGTGAAGATTTGATACCACATTAGGTCTTTCTTTCGTGAAGGTAGTCAGGATAACAAATAAATAAAACGAAGGAAACAGTTGGGAAGAGACCAACTAACCCTAACCCTAACCCTAACCTAAGACATATTACCTGCCAATTCTGTGGGCACAACTCAAACTATACACAAACAATAGTAACATATTGTTGTCATTATAATAAAAGGCAAATAAACATTTATAGATTTTGTCGTACCTGGGCCTCACAGACCAGAAGCTCTCCGATGTACCCCTCTTCTAACAGCTCCTTCATTCGAACGAAAGCGGGCAGAAAACGTAACACATTTCCCATAATGCTCAGCAACTTGGGGTAGTACTGGGCCGCTGACATCATTCGGAAGGCATCCAGAGGCGTTGCTGTCCGGTCGCAGATGACGTTCTTCCCAATACCTTATAAAAGAGAGGAGAGACAGGAATGAGCTTTTTGGTTTTGCTGTGGAATGTCATTGCTTTGACGGGACTGTTTTCAACTATAGAGGTATGGAACAAAAAAACAAAAGAGATTGAAGTTATGTGGTCAATTTTCGCTACACCACGAGCAGACATAATATCCTCTTGGGCATGAAAACATCCCCTGAAGAAACAATGTAGAGCTGCAAAAAGTGGAAACTCCCAGAACAGATGACTCAAGAATTCCTAAACTTTCTGGGATTTCTCATCTGAGTCATGGCGAAGGAGGGTTCAAATAGAATGTGTACTGCATATACTATTATAAAACCTGTTCAGATTAAGTGTAATTGTACTGCTACCATGCTAAAATTAGTAGATGTATAACCTATATTCACAATCAAATTTAGAACCATAACAGAATTTGTAATATCGCCTAGACCAACTCTGGATAATTTAATACAATTTAGGGGCTTTAATTTTGGAAGACAAGCAAGATATTGCAGTCACAACTGCGGTGTATGGTGCAACTGCATAGCTCATAGAGCTTCAGACAGGCTTTGCTGGTACTGCCAGAAGGGATAAAAGCTTGATATAAAAAGATGAGCCCAGAAGCAAAGAAGCGACGTATAGAAGGAAGGAGATAAAGAGCCTGTAGAAACAGAATGAAACCTAATTAAAATCACTTCAGGCACATTAAACGGTCCGTTGGTGCCAGCAACACCCAAACAAGACAGCGTTAAGAGGTGCAGGGAAAAGAGACAGACAGAAACAGATTGTCTTTTTTATTATTACTTTTTACTGGACAGTCGACTGGAAGGAGATAGACGGGAGCCAGTGGAATACAGAATACATAATTAACTGCTTTTGAACCTGATCCTCCAATGTCACAGGAAGATAATCTGTTTCTTAGGATAAGGTCTGCAACTAGGAATCCTTTTCATTACTGAGTGATAAATCTGATGATTATTATTTCAATTAACTGATAAATCGTTGAAGCACTTGATTTGTCCTGAAACTTCCAAATATCTGTTCCTTTTTCCAAAAAAGTGACAAAGCAGAATGTGGGAGAGAAATGAAAGGGACGACAAAATACTCCTATAGTAGCAACAGTAGACAACAGTCATAAAGTTAGCTAACTGTCACAGCTAATAAGCAGCAACATGCCAATATAAGCTAACATTAGCCTATCCCTGCGTTTGAGCCTGCCCACAGCAGACAGTTTGAATTGTTTTGATTAAACGCGGTTTCAAAGTATGACAAATGTACGATTTACTTTCCCACGGCCGAAAAAAGTGCAACGTAAACCAAACATTAGCTAACACATAGTTTAGCATGTAAAAGAGTTAATGAAACAAGAGTGCATTTTATAGCTTTCAGCTACAAATCAGTAAGTAAAGTCTGAAAACACTGGGCTAAAAGGAAGAGATATCTGTTCATCTTCCAGCTGTGTCAGACGATTACTACATCTATAGAATTGTATTTGACCAATGATACGCCTTAATACTCTTCTACAACCCAGTCTAACGGCATTACGTGTTATGGTCACAACATTTAATCTATTGATTCGTGTTCACCAATACGATTTTCCCCTTCATTTCGAGTCACACAGAACGATTTTAAAAGCGATGTATTTCTATTGGTAGTGTGTTTCGTGCCTGCAACACGTCTTTTTGTCCGGTCGGGTTTTGGAAGAGCGGAAGCTGTGTGGTTCATAAAAACATGTTCTTACTCAATATCAAGCCACGATTATTGTTTTTAATTTGAAATCGTATAATGTCGGAGTTTTTTTGCCGTCCGCCAGGAAAATAAATGGGGCTCAGAGCCTCAGAATACTGAAATCTGTAGGCCTATGTTTTAAATCTTCCTTCTAATTTGTTATTCTTTTCTAAATAACACACTGTTATTTACTCAACAATAACACACAATTATCCTTGTTTTTATTAGTTTAATTCTATAATCTCTGGCTTTTTTGGCGTCCGTCAGGAACTGAATTTTAAAATAAAATAACCGGAAACAGATACACACCCACTGAACTGATTACCCAAGATCCTCAGCTATGGTTTAAGCTCAGTGATTGGATTGTTTAGCTGCAATGCACGTTGGGATATGGTGTTAATGCGATATGAAATCCGAAAAACTTTAAAAAAAAAAAAAATACTTTAATCCGAGTGTGCTTGCTTTTCTCTTTGAAATTCATCACATAACGGCATTGTAATACACACACTCTTTTTTCCCCTTCTTTTTAGAAGGAAAAAGATTTTAAAAATACAGGTTTCAGTATTCTGAGGCTCTGAGCCCCATTTATTTTCCTCGTGGACGGCAAAAAAAGTCAGACATTATACGATATAAAATTAAAAACAATAATCGTGGCTTTACATTGAGTAAGAACATGTTTTTATGAACCACACAGATTCTGGTCTCCCAAGACCCGACCAGACAAAAAGACGTGTTGCAGGCACGAAACACACTACCAATAGAATTACTTTTAAAATCGTTCTGTGTGAAATGAAAATAAGGGGAAAATCGTGTTGGTGAACACGAATCAATAGATTAAATGTTGTGACTATAACACGAAATGCCATGAGACTGGGTTGTCTTCTAATAATGACCTCTGAATGTGATGGTCACACATAGTCAGGAGTCAGACAGAGTGCATAATACACACAATATAGGGACAGCATCACTCCACACACACATTCCTCGGGCCCCAGCATGCCGCTTAACTTTCAGTCCTGGCTGTCTGTTGTGGGTGGATGGGAGGTTTTGGAAGTTAAACTTCCCATGCTAATCTGACATTAGCTTGAATCAGCCAAGGCCAGGAAATTAATCCCTCTGACCCAGTTCTGAGGAGTGCCTTTGGAGCCCCCACCCTTTACCCAACCCTTGCAGACACACAAAGCCATCAACGACCGAGCACCCCCGTCCCCTTCCTTTGGCAGAAACACAGATACTGGGAAGATGCATTGTCCAGGGTAAGGCCATTCTGGGTAAATGCTAAATGCTCTTGACTGATTTTATTGGCACTCATTTTGAGCCAAATGTCTTTACAGGATATTAGCTTGGCTAGCAACTCAAATGCTTCAAGGCAGATTTCACTCTCCAACAGCGATCCTCTTCATGATTTGGCCAATATATGATATCAAGAAAGTCCACAACTATGTCACACTAAAGCTGACTCAAGGCTTTTTATGCAGTCATTCCAACTCATGACTGTACTGACTGACCTTTACAGGGATAAAAGCAGCTCCTCTTCAGATCTACAATGACCTTCCGCCTCTCATGTACAATGCTCTGAAAGGTTGAGTCGACTTAGACAGGTCAGCCTGTTGAGTCATCATAGCTGACCAGGAACATCCTCCCCTCGTACAGTGAGAGGTTTGTACCCCTGCGCATTGTTTGTGCATGGGTCCAATAGATTTTGGATGATGGATGCACCTCTGAGCACAGGGAAAATCATAGACGCTACTGCAGTAAACCAACACTAGGGGTGAAAAAGGTGACTTGACATTCAGTAGCCAAAAAAAAAGAGTAGACCAATCATGAAAGGAAGAGACAAAAGAGGAAAGTAAAAGGGAACCTCTGTCGATCTAACTATTTATTTGGAAAATGCTTTTGAGAGAGGTGTATGTGTTTAGTGATGCTTCCATAACCTTTACAAAAACACACAGCTGTTCCCGTTAGAGCGCTGCGTGATAGAAATGTAGAACCTATTTTGACTGTAGTGTTTTTTTTTCAGCTATTCTTTTTCACCCTGTTTTTTTACTAAATATCTTTGAATTTGTGTCTAACTTCAATCATGTTAAATTGTAATTATAGTTGAATAGTTATAGTCAGTGAAAAAAGAGATTTTTGTTTTTATTATACACTGAAAAAACTGAAACGTAAACTTTAAATTGAATTTATTATGTCAACAAATTTCACATAACTGTATTAAGTTAGTTGAAAGCAATAATATTAAGTTGAACTGACATTCTTTTAATTTAAACTTGCTTTTTTTTAAATGATTGCTTTCAACTAACATAATATAGTTATGAGAAATCTTACATATAATTAAAGTCAACGGCTCAGTTTTTCAGTGTAAAGAAAATACATTTTAGTCCTATCTTTAATTGTTAGCGATATGTGTCATTGCGTCGTCAATACTGGTTGGGATATAACAACATCCCTGTTACCATAGTAACAAAGTTCACTGGCTCCTTATCATCTCTACAGCAAGGATGAGAGTAAGGACCTTTAAACCTGATGTCACGGTCCTCTGAATTGAGATGTTCCCCAATGTCTTGTTAAAGATCAAGGATGCAAGGTTTCTAGCGGCAGTGTTCAGCAGATGTACTAAACAAAAAAGAAATGGCTTGCCACATTCTTCGCCTTTATCAAGATACGTTCCAGAAATGGGTATACAAAGATGCATGACTGAGAAACGCTGATAGTAAGGATCATGTTTGGGCATGTATTAACAGATATAGTTCTACAGTAAGTCTCTCGAGGCTGCAGACAGTAAAATAGCAACAGTAACTCTTTGATAGCCGGGGCACAGTGGAGCTTAACTGACAGGTAAAGTTCCCGGCTCATAGGGAGAGCAGTAATGGAGCAGATAAACCTCCAGCATGGCCGCTTAGTCCCTCAACATCAATAATTAATGTACAGCACATACAGTATCAAGCCTTCATAGACGGCGAGAGAGAGAGAGAAAACAACAAATCTCTAGATATTATGCAAGTATTAAAGCACAATTGTTAGTGAGCAAGGTGAACTTGATAAGCATTGGGATATGTTGTATACCATGACGGACATCAAAGACATGTTGCAAGGCAGGTGGTACCTGATAAATGTATACATTACTGACTGTAAGATCAGAAGAAGGGCTTACCTCAGCAGTTCACTGAATGCTAAATAGTGAAGTAAAATCACACTGAATAAACAACATGGGAGATGTTGTTTTGTCTGATTTCTCATGACTACTTTTTAAATGGGCCTTATTATGCTAATTTTCAGGTTATATTTGTATTGGCCTCTACTGTGACAT